GACTGCTTTCACCCTTATATCATCTCCTGATGTTTTATAGGCAATGAAGAATAAGGGACGATCGCTTACCATTGAAACGCTGCTCTGCGCCAACACGATCGTTTTTCAAGCCAATCACTCGAACAGCACTCAAGTCCAGTACTGTTATTTTGAATGGACTTCCCTGGACATGCTCATCGCCGACCAGCACCGAGATGTTATGCACTCCCTCACTTCGTGGTATAAATTCCGCTTCGACTATTTCATCTGGTAATTTTTGCAATGCCACCGGCACTTGTCTACGATCCGCATCTGCAACACAGCCCTTTACAGGATTTATCTCACTACATATACTAGTCATTTTCTCCTTTTTACTTCCATACTTAATGCCTAAGCCATTCATAGAAACCGAATGCGGATGAAGTTTTGACTTTTGATTTTAATTTACACTTTCCGAATACAACGCTCAGGATCCACCTGACATATGGACCAGGAGTGGTACCGTTCGAAACGAGACAGTGATATTCAACAAACACCAAGAGCATTAGAAAACAGATAAGGATTTCCTGAGTACTGTGCCCCGAGAATTAATGAATGAAGACGAAACGAAAATTAGGATAGCTAACAAGCTGACCATCAGTCGATGCAACACTGGTAAAAGTAACTTGAAAAGCTGTCAGCTGCGGTTACAGCTGTCCCAGGTATTCCAAACAAGTAATGGTATAAAGCCAGACAATAGTTTAAAACCGTAATTTTTAAAAATGTGCAAATTTCTATGGCGGAAAGCGATTTCGGAAATCAGACAAGAGAGAAAACTGAAATTTTGCAGAATATTTTCTGTACATGCACGAGTTATATTTATTTCGAATTCAGTTATCATGAATGCTTGTATAGCGCGTACAGTCACGCCAAAGTTCGCGTCTCTGTATCTACAGCTTAGGAGGCGAAACACAGGAAGATTATTTTTGAATTGAGAGTGTTACTATGTTCCGAGTTTACTGTCCATTTCTAATCCTTTTTCTTTCTCTTCTATTTCAAAAAATTATCACGAAAAAAGGCTAACCAATAACGATAACAGTGAGATTCTTTCCCGCATCAGGTTTCACTCGCATGATCAATTTCGATGGGTTGCCAACAAACGCTTGCTCTATATCGCTCAGCAGAATTGCTCCACGATCGGGTCTGATCACTTGGACAAACTGACGCTCACCGTACGGTTTATTGTTGATAAAAACATCCACCGAATATCGACCTGGCTCATGGAATCTACAAAAAAAGCTCACAAGTCTGAGCAGACAGTCTTTTTTTCTGCAAGCATAGCCGAAATCCCTTAAAGTAGAAAAGATTCTG